TAATATTTCCATGTAATAGCAATGTATAATTAGAAAACAAATTTAAAAATTTATGGTAGCTTTGAAAAGTGAGATATTTAGCTATAAATATAACAAAACACCCACAAGATCTGTGTGAAAAACTACAAAATGATAATTAAAGGAATCAACAAAGACCTAAATAAAGGAAGAGGCATACCCCATTAGTGGATTGAAAAACTCAAAGTTGTAAAGAGGTCAGTTAGCCTCAGACTGATCTGTAGATTTAATACAATTCCAGTCAAAATATCCTACCTGGCATTTTTGTAGGTAGAGACAAGCTGATTCTAAAATTTATATGGAGACTGTCCATTCTCCATTTTGCATTTTTGGCACCCTTGTTGAAGATCAGATGACTGTATATATATATATATGGATCTATTTCTGAACCCTCACTTCTGTTCCATTGATCTGTATGCCAGTTTTTATGCCAATACTATACTGTTTTAATTGTTGTAGCTTTGCAATATAGTTTTCAATCAGGAAGTGTGATGTCTCCAGCTTTGTGCTTCTTTCTCAAGACTGATTTGGCTATTTGGAGTCTTTTGTGGCTTCATGTGAATTTTAAAATTGTTTTTTCTATTTTTTAAAAAAATGCCATTTGGGATTTTGATATGGATTACATCGACTCTATAGGCCACTTTTGGTAATACGGACATTTTAACAGTATTAAGTCTTCTGATCCAGAATACGTAATATCTTTCAATTTATTTATGTGTTTCTTCTTTCTTTCATCAATGCTTTATAGTTTTCAGTATATAACTCTTTCATCATTGCCTATTCCTAAGTATTTTATTTCTTGTTGTTATTGTAAATGGAATTGTTTCTTAATTTCCTTTTTGGATAGTTCATTGTTAGCCTATAGAAATGCAACTGATTTTTGTACCTGCAACTTTATTGAATTCATTTATTAGTTCTAATAGTTTTCTGTGGAGTCTTTATGGCTTTCTACACATAAGATAATGCCATCTGTAAAGAGGTAATTTTATTTCTTCCTGTCTGATTTGGATGACTTTTATTTCTTTTTCTGGCCTGGTTAGGACTTCCAGTACTGTGTTGCATAGAAGTACTTTCAGTACTATGTTGAGAGTGAGCATCCTTGCCCTGCTGATCTTACAGGAAAAGCTTTTGTTATTTTGCCATTGAGTATGACATCACTGTGAGCTTTTAATATACAGCCTTTATTATGATGAGGTAAATTCCTTCTATATCTAGTTTGTTGACGATTTCTTTTTTTTCATGAAAAGGTTTTTTATTTTGTTAAATGCATTTTCTACATCTATTGGGATGATCATGTAATTTTCTAGAACTAGAAATACCATTTGATCCAGCCATCCCATTACTGGTATATACCCAAAGGATTATAAATCATGCTGCTATAAAGATACATGCACATGTATGTTTATTGCAGCACTATTCACAATAGCAAAGACTTGGAATCAACCCAAATGTCCATCAGTGACAGACTGGATTAAGAAAACGTGGCACATATACACCGTGGATTACTATGCAGCCATAAAAATGGATGAGTTCGTGTCCTTTGTAGGGACATGGATGCAGCTGGAAACCATTATTCTCAGCAAACTATCGCAAGAACAGAAAACCAAACACCGCATGTTCTCACTCATAGATGGGAATTGAACAATGAGATCACTTGGACACAGGAAGGGGAACATCACAGACTGGGGCCTATTGTGGGGTGGGGGGAGTGGGGAGGGACAGCATTAGGAGATATACCTAATATAAATGAAGAGTTAATGGGTGCAGCACACCAACATGGCACACGTATACATATGTAATAAATCTGCAGGTTGTGCACATGTACCCTAGAACTTAAAGTATTAAAAAAAAAGAAAATTCAATCCTTTTTAAATGTCCTGTATTACTTTAATTGATTTGCATATGTTGAACCATCCTTGCATCCCAGGGATAAATCCCACTTCATCATGGTATATGGCCTTTTAAATGTATTAAGAAGACTGTATGCATACATGTGAAAGAATGAAATTGTACCCTCATCTGACACCATACATATAAATCAATGCAAAACGGGTTAAAGATTTAAACATAAGACCTGAAACTTTAAAACTCCTAGAAGCAAACATTGAGGAAAAGCTTCATGACATTGGTCTTGGCAATGATTTCTCAGATATGACATCAAAAACACAAGCAACAGAAGCAAAAATAGACAACTGGGACTACATCGAACTGAAAGGATACTGTATAACAAAGGAAACAACAGAAAGGAAGAAAATATTTGTATACATATTCTGATAAGAGTTTAATATCTAAAATAAGGTTTAAAAATGCCTTCAGCTGAATAGCATAAAAATACAATAACCCAACTAAAAAATTGGCAAAGAACCTTGAATAGACATCAGAGATATCTGCATTTCCATTTTTGTTGCAGCATTATTCATAATAGCCAAGATATGGAATCAACTTAAGTGTCTATCAACAGATGATTAGATAAAGAAAATGTGGTATTTATACACAATGGAACACTATTTAGCCTTAAAAAAAACAAAAGTAAATCCTTCCATATGTGACAACATGAATGAACCTGGAGGACAGTATGCTAAGTGAAAGAAGCCAGTCACATAAAAACAAATGGCTATATGATTTCACTTATATGAGGTATCTAAAATAGCTCAAATACATAAAATAAGAGAGTAGGATTGTAGTTGCCAGGGATAAAGAGAAGGGGGCAATGAGGGATTCATCTTCAATGGGCATGAAGTTTCAGTTATGCAAGACAAATATGTTCTAGAGATCTACTGTACAATATTGTGCCTACAGTTAATATTGTGCACTTAAAAACTTAAAAGGGTAGATATGTTGACATGTTAAGTGTTCTCATAACAGTGAAAAAAAACTACATCTGTATAAACATTTAAAAAACAAAAAAGTCATAAAAAGTTTATATGAAAATTCAAAGCAATTATTTAAGTATTTTAAAACAGAATAAGACTGTAGGAATCACACCACCCGATAATAAGACTAATTATGAAGCTAGAGTAATTAAGACAGTATAGTATTGACAAAGGAAAAGGCTCAGGATTGTTGGAACCGAATAGAGTCTAGAAATGGACCCCAAAACAGATGGCTAATTGATTTCTGACAAAGGTGCACAAACAGTTCAATGGAGAAAGAATAATCTTGTCAACACATGGTATTAAAACAATTGAAAAACTATATGCAAAAAAAAGAACCCTGACTTAAACCTCACACTTCATACAAAAATTAACTCAAAATAGATTATAGACTTAAATGTAATATGTAAAACTATAAATCTTTTAGAAGAAAACCTAGAAAAAAAGCTTTACGATCTGTCGTTATGCAGAGTTCTTACACATGACACTAAAAGCACAATTTATTTTTAAAAATTGACAAATGGACTTTATCAAAATTAAGAACTTTTGCTCTGTGAGAGATCTAACTTGGAGAATGAAAAGTCAATACACACACTGGGAAAATATATTTTCGAATTACCTATCTGGCCAAGGACTTGTATCTAGAATATGTAAAGATTATTCAAACCTTAATATGAAGAAAACAAATAACCCACTAAAAAATGAGCGAAGGTTTTGAACACATCACCAATGAGGATATAAGGATGGCAAACAAACACTTAAGTAGGTGTTCAACATCATTAGTCATAAGGGAAATATAAATTAAAACCACAAAAGTAGTGCACTTAAAAACTTAAGAGGGTAAGTTACCACCACAAATGTAGTGATAGCTAATTGTGGTTTTAACTTCTATCTATTGAAGTAAAAGAAAAATGGTGACAACACAAAGTGCTGGTGAAGACACAGAGCAAATGAAACTCTCACACGTTGTAGGTGGGGATGCAAAATGCAGCACCCATCCTGGAAAACAGTTTGGAAGTTTCTTACAAAGTTAAACATGCACTTACCATATCACCCAGCAATCCTGCTCCTGGGTGTTTACCCTAGAGAAATGAAAAATTATGTCCTTATGAAAGCCTGTGCATGAATGATTTTAGCAGCTTTTTTGGCTTTTTTTTTTTTTTTTTTTTTTTGAGGCCAAGTCTTCTCACTTTGTCACCCAGACTGGATTGCAGTGTCATGATCATGATTCACTGCAGCCTCGACCTCCATGGCTCAAGTGCACACCTGGCTGATTTTTTTATTTTTGGTAAAGATGGGATTTCACCATGTTGCCCAGGCTGACCTCAAACTCCTGGGCTCAACTGATTCTCTCACCTCGGCCTCCTAAAGTGCTGGGCTTGTAGGCATGAGTCACCGTGCCTGCCAAAAGCTTTCTTCCTAATTGCTCAAACCTGGAAATTCTGCAAGTGTGCTTCAACAGATGAATGGATAAACAAACTGTGGTACATCCATACACTGGAATCTTTACTCAGCAATAAAAAGCAACAAGTGGATGAGTCTAGAGGCCTTTGAAAGGCATTATGCATGAAAGAATCCAGTCTCAAAAGATTATGTACTATATGATTCAATTTCTATGGCAACCTCAAAAAGACATGAAAATATAGTAATGGAGAACAGATCAAAGGAATACCATGGGGCAGGTGCGGTGGCTCACGCCCGTAATGCCAGCACTCTGGGAGGCCAAGAGGAGCAGATCACTTGAGATGAGGAATTCAAGACCAGCCTGGCCGACATTGGAGAAACCCCATCTCTACTAAAAACACAAAAGCTAGCCAGGTGTGGTGGCACATGCCTGTAGTCCCAGCTACTCAGGAGACTGAGGCAGAATAATTGCTTGAACCTGGGAGACAGAGGTTGCAGTGAGCTGAGATCACACCACTGCACTCCAGCCTGGGTGACAGAGTGAGACTCCATCTCCAAAAAACCAAAACAAACAAACAAACAAACAAAAAAGGGATGCCATGAGGGAGTTTTTTAGGGCAATGGAATTGTTTCTGTATCCTGATTGTGGTTGTGGTTATTTATATATATTGTACAATGGCTAAAATTCATAGACCTGTAAATACATATAGACACAAAGTCAGTTTTACTCTATAATGATCACAAAAGTAATCTAGGGAGCACAGCTGTGAAGTCTTCCCTCAGGTCCTCCCAACCTCCTTCTCCTTAGGGGGTCTGAGGCCTTTCCTTCCTCTCCTTGCTTCTGGATTCTGTCTCATAGTGCTCTTCTGTTTCCCTCCCAGTCTTGCCACCACCAGGCTGTAGCACTTCATTCAGGTCTTGTCTGGGGCTGTGACTCTGTGGCTTTGTTCCACACTCTTCTTAGTCAAGAACGGCCACCAAAATCTACTGGGTTTTCAGCCAGTTCCCTCAACAAACAAGCAAGCTACAACAAAAAAGAAATCATCTTTGATTTCTCTTTCTTCTACCTTCATATCCCATTCATTAGTGAGTATTGTCAGTTCTGCTTTCAAAATAGGTCCTGAGCCTAATCCCTGCAGCCACCTCTGTCCGGGCCATTGCCATCTTAGGCCTTAGCTACTGCAACAGGCTTCTATCTGGTCTCTCTGCTTCCACTTCTTCCCTGCTATTGTCTATTTCCAATGCAGCAATCAGAGTAATCCCACGAAAACACATACCATGTCATTTCTACTTACAGTCCTCCAAAATCTTCCCAGTGTATTTAGAATAAAAGCCAAGTACCATCCCACCGCCTCCGCAGGGCTGTCCTCCTCCCCCTGCTTCCTCTGGTATTGTGCCCTGGCCATGCTGACCTTCTTGCTCTTTCCAGGATATGTCATGCTTATTCCCACTTCAGTGCTATTTTCTCTGCCTGGAACTGGCTTATCCCAGAAATCTGCATGGTCGCTGCTTCAGATAGTTCAAGACTCAGTCCTAAAGTCACTTCCTCAGAGAGAGCTCCTCTGCCTGTTTTAAAGTCACTTCCTCAGAGAGAGCTCCTCTGCCTGTTTTAAATAGCCTCCCCAGCCTTCCAGTCTCTCTCTAGCCCCTTAACCTGATTTATTTTCTCTCAGCACTTAACCACCTCGTGCAAGGATGCCGGCTTCCCATGGCAACATAGAATCCATACTCCTTATTATGTCCTAGAAAGTGCTATGCGACCTGGTTCACGCCTCACCTCTGACATCATAACCCTCTGCTCCTGAGGGACAATTCCCTTTTCCGTGCCATTCCCTGTGCACCCCTCCAGCCACACTGACTTCCTTGTGTGTCCAGAACAAAGCAAGCGTGCTTCTACCTCAGAATCTTTGCATCTGTGATTCCATCTCCCTCGAATGTTGTTCCTCCATAGAGCTTCCTGGCACATTCTCTGCTCAAATGACACTTAATCAGAGACTTTCTTGACCATCGTATATAAAACAGCAAGCCCTTCATCATTCTGTACTCCTCTTATCTGTTTTATTTTTCATAGCATTTATAACTACCTGGTGTGTGTATAGCTATTTATCTGTTATGTGTTCTTAGCTCCCTGTACTAGGCTGTCAGCCTGCGGGGAGCCACGACTTTGTTTTGTTCACTATTGATTGTCTTTCTCTGTGAGTCTCAGCCTCATTCATACCAATGTTGCTTTGAGGATGGCTGGGTGCAGGGAGGCACCTGGAGTACCAAGAGCCCTGGAGAGACCCCTGGCCATATAGCTGTTGTTCTTTGTCTGTCTCTGTCACCCGCGTGTAAGCTCCATATTGGCGGTGACTGAGAGGCAGGGTGCGGTGCATAGTGGGTGCTCAAGAATAGTTGTAGAATGAACAAATGAATGAATAAATGATAGAGGTTTTTGGATATTTAAAAAGAACGTTTTGGCTTTTAAAAGAAACTTTCCATGTTTTAAAACCTAAATGCAGAATAGTGGTATGAATTGGCCAGTGAGGAAGTACCTTATGTGAAGTTTACTGCTAACATTTAAACATTTTCCCCTGCCTAGTAAAGACTTTTTGATGTCTTCCCATTGTTCTTAGGGTCATAATACACTTTAAGATGGCTCCTGCCCCTTTGTCAGCCCACTTTCCCTTGCTCTGGGTCTCAGCCACACAACCCTCCTTTCAATTTCTCCTACCTGTGTTCCCTCCCAGTCCAGGGCCTCTGCCTGCAAGGCTTCCTCTGTCTGGATGCTCTGGCCCCCACCCTCCCCAGAGTTAACTCCTCCTCACCCTCCCCATCTCTGCTAAAGCCTCAGATCTTCAAGGGAAGCCCTCCCTGACACCCAGGCAAGGGTGATGTGCCCTCAAATCACCAGGTACCTCTCCTGCACACCCCAGATCACAGGTGTGGTCTAACATGTGTTTGTGTGATTATATAGTTAAGGTTCCCATGATGGGGAACTGGGTCTGCCTTTGCTTCACCATTAACTTCTCTGGAAACTAGCACTTCTGGAAACAGAATAGGCTTTTAAAAAAATATTTGTAAGGCCAGGCACGGTGGCTCAAGCCTGTAATCCCAGCACTTTGGGAGGCCGAGGTGGGCGGATCACAAGGTCAGGAGATCGAGACCATCCTGGCTAACACGGTGAAACCCCGTCTCTACTAAAAATACAAAAAATTAGCTGGGTGTGGTGGCCGGCGCCTGTAGTCCCAGCTACTCAGGAGGCTGAGGCAGGAGAATGGCATGAACATGGGAGGTGGAGCTTGCAGTGAGCCGAGATGGTGCCACTGCACTCCAGCCTGGGCAACAGAGCAAGACTCCATCTCAAAAAAAAAAAAATTATAAAATGAAAACATTACTTAATTAATGATATAAAAGTGACTTTTTTTGTATAGCCTCGATTTTACTGTAAGGCAGTGAAGGTAATTGTTATAACAAAAGTCAAGGAAACCCATTAAGCTCTTAATCCCCTGGTACTGTTAGAAGATGAGAGATGCTGTGGTATAGACAGGCTAGGACACAGGGCAGGTGAGTTTCCAGGGGCAGAGAGAGGAGATGAGCTTCACAGCTGCTGAGACCTGTCCCTCTGACTTGGGCAGGCATCCTCATTATTTGAAAGTACAACAGGGCCAAACCTTCAATCGAGGAACACAGCTTGTGCTCAGATTTTTTTTTTTTAAAACAACATCATGTGGAATTTTCTTTATGTCTTTCTAATAAAACTCAAAGGATAGGAATAAAAATAGAAGAGATCATTGAAATCAGCTCAACATAAGGTAACCTTTGAGCAGTCAGCTGTGTCCCACTGTGAACTGCCTGGCCTTGAGTGGTGCATGGGGGAGAAGGGGGTGCAGAGGTCAATGTGCCTCTCCTTGTCGGGGGTGGTGTGGAGGTGATGGTGTCGGGGATGGTGTTCTCAGGTCGGGAGGAACAGGATCTGTCTGATGACCTTTAACATGCCTTTCCACCTGGAAACCCTTCAGAGTTTATGCTCATCCTTTGTGTTAGTCAAAGCTTAAATCCCCTTCCTTACCTAACCTTTGCTAGAGAGATGAAATTGGTGTTTGCCCGGCCTGCTGCTCATTGGAATCACATGGGGAGGAAGCCGAGCACCCACTTGAGACCAGTTAAATTAGAATATGTGGTGTGGGGCCCAGGTATAGGTATTTTTAAAAAGCTCCTAAGTAATTCTGAAATGCAGCCAGAGTTGACAGCCACTGTAAAACAGGTAGTGCCGTGGACGGGTTTCCTTTTTCCTTCTCCTCTGGTGCTCACTCGGTTCTCAGGCTGAATCAAGCTTGGCCAAGCCATGGCCCACAGGCTGCAGGCAGCCCCAGACAGCTTTGAATGTGGCCCAATACAAATTCATAAACTTTCTTAAAACATAATGAGATTTTTCTGTGATTTTTTTTTTATTAGCTTATCAGCTTTCATTAGTGTTAGTGTATTTTATGTGTGGCTCAAGACAATTCTTCTTCCAATGTGGCCCAGGGGAGTCAAAAGATTGGCCACCCCTGGGCTAAATGATCATAATGTGTGGCAGGCAGACTTCTGAGACGGCCACCAACAATCCTGTCTCCTGGCATTCCTGGCCTTCTGTAGGCCCTGACTCCTGGAGTGCACACTGGATTTGAACTCAGGTCCACTTAACCATCAGAGTAAAATGGCTAAGACTGTCAGAAGAGTGGGTAAGGGGAGCTAAAGAGTCCTGCATGAACTGAAAACTTGAGTGCTCAGTCTGCCGTTATCAGTGGCCTCCATCACCGCAGGTCCCTCCCCCAGCTCTAACCCCAACCCAAGGGGGATGACTTAGGGCCTGGTGGCCCTTTGGTGCCCTAAGAATCCTGGATAGAACCTTTCTTCAAGGTTCTGCCCTTCTCCTTCTTTCGATCTTCTGTTGACCTCACCTGCCGATCTGAACTGGGAGCTGGCATGGCGCCTCTGTCTCTCTCAGCTAGAGAAAACCATCTTCTCAAAGCAGAGCCCATCAGAACAATGTTCTCCACAGTGTGGCTTAGGAGCTGCTTCTCTGGATCATGATTACATTCATTGCCACGGTGTGAACTCAAGCACCAGGGGCCAGGGTCTTTCCAGGATCCCTGGGTCTGGCAGTGGGCTCCTCTGGCAGAGCCCACGTGCCCTCTCTTGGAGGAAGAGCAAACTGAGCCTTTCTGATTCCTGGGGCTGTTGGCATTTCTGTAGTGAAGTTTGGATTGCCAGGCCAATCAGTGCCCACTCCCTTAAATCTGACCCCAGCATCAAAAGAGCTGCTCTGGGGATTCTGTTCCATGTCCCCAGTTTCCCCCACCCCCAGAGGCCAGCAGCCCTTTTGTTGGTTTGGCTCTCAGCTTAGATCATTGAAGCAATTTCAGCTCCAACTGGGCAACACTCAGCGTTTCATTTATGTCTTGGCAAGGTTACCATGTTATTACTTAACTGTGCCGCTGCTACTCAATAAGTGGGAACTGATTGAAATAACTACAGGAGTTGCTGGATTCCCCTAATTTTAGCACAGAGTTAAAGCTCACTCCCACAGTTGGAAGTTAAAATAGGCTGCCAGCCCACAGAAATGCCCACCCACCACACCTAATTGTCACCCCACAGATGCCTGTCATGGAAGGAAACATGGAAGGCTGGAGAGAAGTTCTTAGAAGCAAGTTCTTCTCCTCAGTGGATGCCTGAGGTCATTTTGGCCAGGCCCAATTTCTTTGAGACTGTAAGCCTGGGGAAATTTGCTTGACTGCTTTAGAGACTCCTGCTTTCTTCCCTGATTTGTCTGACAGGCAGTCGAAGTACAGAGTGCTCATTAGAACGACTGCAGAGAATAGAAACTCCTGTCTGGGGGTGTCTCCTTAAATGACTCATTCCTGGAGTCCAGATGTGGGGAGGGCAAAGACCCTGAGAAATCTATGTAATTTGGAAAGCAGAAAAGAGACTTAATCCAAGTTAACTTGCTTTCTCTTGGTGTCATAGCCATCAACCACAACCCAAATGACACCACTTGAAGAAGAATTTGAAGTAAATGCCATCTTGTGAAACTTCCCCCATCCCAGAACACCCAAATTGTTTTTTTGTTTCTTACTATTGTAAACTAGATGTTACTAGATACGTTCTGAAGGCTTCTATGAAAAGTTATTTCTCATAGTGAGCCTGCTTCTTAATATTTCTCATACCTGTGCAATTTTGTGTTCTCTTGTACCTACTTTAAGTTATAATCGGCTCTTAACATCTTAGTACAGCATAGTCGACCAGACCGTCAAGGGCAAAGTAGGGGATTAGAATGTGGAGATTTTTAGAGAAAGGGAAAGGCTTTATCTGCAAGGTGTTTCCTAAGGGGACCCTAGGAAGCCTCCAGAGTTCTTGGCAGTGGACAGTTCCCAGTCTCCCAGGCTTCATGGCCTCACAGCTGGACTGTGTGGGAGCCTCCTGACACTGGTTTTGATGATTAGCATCAGATTAATCATCTTTAGAAGTATCTCCCTCCATGCCAGTCTCCTGCCCAAAAATGTCCATGACTCTTTTGCCTATAGGATGAAATCCAAATCCCCTAGGCTTTCTTTCTTTTTTTTCTCTTTCTCTTTCTTTCTCTCTCTCTCTCCCTGTCTTCCTTCTTTCTTTCTCTCTCTCTCTCCCTGTCTTCCTTCTTTCTTTCTTTCTCTCTCTCCTTCCTTCCTTCCTTCCTTCCTTCCTTCCTTCCTTC